GTGTCTGTGAAATAAATCTTTAAATAAAAAGATAAATTAATACCAAAGCTGCTCTAAAAACCCAACTTTATTTTGAACTGAAAACAACAACAAAACGAGGTATTTCAAATGTGCGCAGAGTTAAATCCATTAAATGCAAACAATTAAAATAAAAACATTTCTGAGATTTTTTTTTTAAAAAAACGACATCAACTTAAATAATTTGCACATAGGTAGCTTAAGAACATTCAGGTAGTCAGTGATCATTTCATGCAACCAACAAATGGTCTAAAGGTTAATAATCTGTGTGCGCAACAAACACAAGACACCTAAACGCATCACGACACAGCTCGTCCTCAAAACAGGAAACATTTAGAAATAAAAAAACAAAACAATCCAGCATTTTAAACAACACTAAATAACAACAACAACATTAAGAATCATAAAGAGTTCCTTTTTGTTTCTCTAATCAGTCCAAAATCAACTAAAAAGAAAAAAAAAGAAACAGAAACGTACTTCAGCTTTCTTTCCGCCGCTCTTTGTTTTCTTTCTTCATCTTCATCCTGCGGTTCTGGAACCAGATCTTCACCTGCCTCTCCGTCAGGTTCAGGAGTCTGGCCACTTCGTACCTCCGGTCCCGGGGCAGGTACATGTTGAAGAGGAACTCCTTCTCCAGTTCCAGGATCTGGTGCTTCGTGTAGGGGCAGCGCTTCTTCCTGGTGGGCTTTGCGTGCAGCCAGTTGGACGATGGGTTATCTGAGAGGGAAATAATATATATATAATTACAAATCTGCAAATGTAAGATGTAAATGATTGTTTCGAGCATTTTGTATTTAAAARTAATTAAAATTGAGTTTTAAAAAAACCATCTGCAGATTAATCCTAATTTTAATCTAGCCAAAAAGGAGAATCTTTCTTACTCGCTTCTGTTTCCGTTGTTTTCTCCTCCTGCGGCTCCTCGGCGGCTCCAGAGGCGCGCGGGGAGCTCCGGAGCTCCGCGAGGCTCGCTCCGTTCTCAATGTCAGACAAAAGGGGTGCGTGCGTCTCCAGAGTGGCGCAATCTGCGGCTCCGATCAGCGGCTCGGGCTTGATCTCRTAGAGGTGCGGCGGGATCCCGGTCAGACACAGGGACGCGGAGGAGACCGGCTCCAGGGCCCAGGAGGAGCGCGCGAACACGCCGTCGCCGTCCCCGCTGCCGTACTGCTGCTGCTGCTGCTGCTGGTGGATGTAGGTCGGCGCGGCCGCGCTCGAGCTGCTCCACGAGCCGCCGAAAATGGACGACTTGGCCTGCAAGGGGCACGTCTCCTCCTGTCCGCCATATTCGCTGAGCGCCGCCGCCTGCTCCACCCCCGCCGCAGCCGAGGAGTAGCGCGGTGCCATCATGTCCTCCTGCTCCGGAAGAAGGCGAGAGTCGACATAGTAGCTGGTTCCTAACGTCGACATTGCAGGAAAAAGATGGGGAGAAATCACAAATTCGTGCGCGCGCATAAAACAAAAAAATATGTAAATAAATAAATAAATAAATAAAAATAAGAAGAAAACGAAGAGGAAGAAATACAAAAGAGGGGATTGTTATGATTTTCCAGGATTGGCATTCATTGCATTTGTAAGGTGCAGCTTTCCTGCAAGAACCTCCTGAAAGAATGTGTCCAAAACCTGGATAGGGCGCCCCAAAGCACGTGACCGTGGGACAGAACAATAAATAATAAATCAGCCTTCGCGAGGGCCACCATCCCCCCCCTCCCCCTCCCACATTTTAATAGCAAATCCCCGCGCCTTTATTGGCAAATATTTCCTTTTTTTATAACCAATAAACGTGATGATTTTTGTCAAGAGGGCTCGTTTTAGTGCGGCTCGTGAGTGACGACAAGGACGTTTTAAAAGAAGAAATAAACGAATTTAAACCTGTTTAAGAAGCCAGGATGTGTCCAAAGAAAGCAACCTCCAAAATAAAATAAAATAAATTAACAGTTCGCGGATTTATTCATCTCGTTTCCAGAAGATGAAAGATTCAATGAATAGTTTGGTTTTGGGGATGCGCGCCATCTCCAAGTGTGGCTCCACTTTGAGGCGAGAAAGCGCGCGCTTCTTTGGGTGCTGTWTAACCCTCCTGTTTTATCACGGGCAATTGGGTTGTTTTTCTTCCAGTTACAGCCTGGCTGTCTATGARCTAAATATCCCCCCAATAAAAGCTCAGCTTTTGTGTTCCCCTTTTCTCTGACTCAAGCAGACGCATCCGGTTTTTTTCTTTCTTCGAGGCAACTGCAATGATCATAACCGAGGCCTTGTCTGTCCTCCTCCTCCTCTTCTCCTAGACTACTGACCTAAAAGCACCAAACGGTTTATTAGGAGATTTTGGGAGTTAAAGACGCGGTGAGAAACATCAGTTGTAGAAAGAAATAAAGAGACTTTTACGCACGGCGATAAAACGTCTTATTTCACAGTTTGAGGCTGTATTTGGATGGAGATTTTAATGGAAAATAATAACAAATAACATGAAACATTTTGTTTTAGTCATACAGGGAGGTTTGCTGAAATAGTCAAGGCAGATTTGGGTTGAAGGAAATAATGAAAATAGCTAAAAATCAGGCCACGCAAAAGCTCGTTCCTATATTTAGTTTTCTCTGTAAAGTTTAGTTTTAGGTTTAGATTGTGCGAATAAATATAGCCTGAAGGTACAAAAAAGTACTTCTAGTAGTAAGTTTCATTTCTAACCTGCCTAAAGRCCCAAACTCATTTTACGGATTCGCTTTCAAAGAAATGTTCTATTTTTTTTGTAATATTAGTGCATTTTTATTGTATTTTAGTGAGTTTTGTTCCAAAAGGTGTTTAGCTTTTCAAACAGCAACTTATAGGGAAAAGAAAACAACCCACTGGATATGCACAGGTTTCTTTTTGCGCATTTACGCACAAATAACACCGCGCGCAGAGCCGTTGCGCTGGAATAAAAAAAAAACTGCAGCAAACTTTGGGTCTCTGATACAAACTTTTCTGTGATGTTTTTTTTTCCCTGTGACATTTTTCAAATGAGAGCATCGACAGAGATTTAAGACGCCTGCGGCTCCAGGGAGGATTTTTATTCATCTGAGCAGCTAAATGTGCAAAAAATTCACCCAACCTCTCGCCACATGRAAAATGGAGCACAAATATCCCCCCCCCCCAAAAAAAAGGGTCAGTCCCAGCATGCAAACAGTTCGACTCAGACTGAATACACAGTATGTACAAGGCTGCAGCTCAACATTTGTTACAAATGGAACCAAATACAAATCCACGACTGAAGACGTGAAAAGAAAAAAGAAAAAAAAGGTTTGAACAGCAATAAGTTAGCAGTCTATATATTTATGTATTTATATACATTCCATGGGATTTGTCACAGCTGGGATCCTCTCCATGGATCAATGAGGTCATTTTTTTATTCTATTATTTTGTTTCTTTCCTGACAGTCTCAGGAGAAAGTGAAGTTGGTGGAGAGCTCCCGGATCCGGTTCTCTCGGCTCATTTTTTTCAGTTTCATCCTCCTGTTCTGGAACCAGATCTTGACCTGCCTGTCGGTGAGGTGCACGCTGCGGCTGATCTCCAGACGGCGCTCCCGCGTCAAGTACATGTTGAAGAGGAACTCCTTCTCCAGCTCCAGGGTCTGGTGTTTTGTGTAGGGGCAGCGCTTCTTCCGGCCGCTCTTCGCTGTCAGCCAGTTGGCCGTGCTCTCCACTTTCCCATCTCCTGGAACCACAGATAAACAAATAAATAAAGGAACCAGACATTGTTACCAAGACTAAAATAAATTAAAATTATAAAAGGCAAAAGCTAAACTGTGTTTGTCTATTTTATGTAGAAATGGGAATATTTGAGCTTCACAACTTTTGCGTTTGTTTCGTCTCCAAATCCATTTTACGCAAACTGACTATAAGAAACTGTCCCACTTTATCAGGTTTAAATGATATATTTGAGATGAAAACTACATTTTTTATAACCCAAAAACAGCTTGTTTCAATGCACAAAGCAAAACAGACAGGAAGTGAAACAAGAAGCTTTAAAAATAAATAAAGATGAAAAAAGGGATCAAATTTTTATAGAATGTAAAACAATCTGAGAATCTGCAACAAAATAACGTTACAGGATGGGATTAATTTAAAAACACATTATTTTTGTCTTTATTGGTTGAACTTGTGATAGTGGAGAAATTAAAACTGCTTTTATTTGGATTTTGCAGTAAAAACAAGCAAAAATTAAAGTTATTGATTATTAAACAATGAAGAAAACCGTTATGTTATTTATAATATAATTATTAAATTTTTGAATGATCTAATTTACTTTTATGTTAGTGTAAAAATACGATGGATTAAAGAGCAAAAATAACGTTACAGGATGGGATTAATTTAAAAACACATTATTTTTGTCTTTATTTGTTGAACTTGTGATAGTGGAGAAATTAAAACTGCTTTTATTTGGATTTTGCAGTAAAAACAAGCAAAAATTAAAGTTATTGATAATTAAACAATGAAGAAAACCATTATGTTATTTATAATATAATTATTAAATTTTTGAATGATCTAATTTACTTTTATGTTAGTGTAAAAATACGATGGATTAAAGAGCAAACAATGGGGTTTGTTTTGATGTTCCCAGTAAGCAGTGGGTTCAGTCCTGGGCTCTGATAATTTAAGGCCTGATTCACCTGAACTCAGCTGCTGCTCTTCATCACGCACGAGGAAGATTTCTTTACATTAAAAATAAGAAAAGGAGATTAAATGTGGGCGGGGTTTGGTTCTCTTCACCTTTCACGGGTTTCTCTGGACACTCTGCGCTGCGCGTCTCGGCTGGTTCCGGGGATGAGGACCTCTCTGAGGACAGGCGGCTGTCCTCCTCCCTGGCCGGAGCGCACGGGAGCGCAGAGCCCCCCGCCGCCGCGGCCGCCGCGGCCGCCGGCGCCTCCTCGTGGCTCTCCCTGCGCTCCGGCTCCTGGGAGCCAGCCTGGGGGGTCTGGGAGGGATGTCCGTCCGGGCGGGCGGGTCGCTGCAGATGAAAGTGAGTCATGTTGGGCTGGACGTCGTGATAAAGCCTGGAGGACGGGTTGTAGGTCTGAGACAGGCGGAAGTAGCCCGGGACCGGGACCGTGCCGCCGCTKGAATAGGAGAGGTCCTCCGTGGCTCCTTTAGGACATTTTTCCGCCTCGTACAGGCAGCACGCGCTCTCCTCTTTGATGCTGGGTGAGAACGAACAGTGAGCCAGATGCTGGCCGCCGGCCTGGTCCACCCTGCAGGACCGGGACGTCTCCAGCCACGTCTCCATCCCCGGCACGTACGGCGCGGAGGAGGAGGGCACGGCGCTTTGGGTCGTCGGCTCGTTGCGCTTCCCCACCGCCGGGAAACAGGAGCCGCCGGAGAGTCCATAGGAGTACTCCGAGCCCGGGGCCAAATACAAGCTGCCGCTCTGGTAGTACGGAGCCGGGTCGGCCCTGCCGCTGATCAGAGAGTCCACGAAGAAGGAATTCGCAGCCTGGTTGTTGGAACATGACATCGTCGCGCTGAAATTTGGCGCCGGATGAAGATGGCCCTCTCCGGCTGACATTTCTTGTGCAAAATCATCGCTGAATAATTACTGATCCTCGCGCTTCTCACYGAAGTCTGCAGCCAATTAAAACAGCAGGCGGCTGCAGACTCCTCCCAGGCCGAGCAGCCGACTCTGTGTCATACATTTTGTTTCACAGAGAAGAAGAAGAAGAAGAAAAACTCTGAGGGGAAAGTGGTGCAACACGGTTTTACTGTAATGTCCTCGAGTTATTGTTGACCTGTTGGAGCTGCTGGAGCTGCTGGAGCTGCTGGAGTTGGAAAACCACAGCCTGACAGCTGTCCCCATTACAACCAGTTGTTTAACGGCCACTTTTATGGCATTGTTAAAATGATCCAAAATCTACTGAATTGCCAGTGGACAGACCTGTGTCCCTGATGGTTAGTATTATATTAGTATTAGTATTAGTATTAGTATTAGTATTAGTATTAGTATTAGTATTAGTATTAGTATTAGTATTGGACTTTATTGTGAATCCTGCTGCCTGGACAGCTTGTTTTAATCCTCACACAAGTTCGACTAACATCATTTTATAAATGAATGTGATTGTTTAGCTTCATCTATAACAATGACCTGCAGATACTTTTATTTAATAAACGCACACAAATCTGCAAAAACCTCATTAGGGTTAATCAGTGAACAGGGTAAGAAAACTTTTAGATGCATTTTTCAAGAACACAGTTGTGAAAAAAAATCCAACATATTTCAAATTATTTTTAGTTTTATTCTAGCTGTAATTCCAGTCGACGTGTTTTCGTTTTAAATAACTTTAWGAACACATCGAGAATGAAAAAAGTTCTTTTAAATTGCTTCAGTGATTTAAAAAGTATAAACAAAACGTACTGGAAATTTCAGACACACACAAAATTAAGTAACATAAATATTTGGTCCCGGAAAAGTCTTTGCAGAACACAAATATGAACAAACACATCCCCACAAACAAACAAACACCTGTTGACATCACACAAAAGTGAGTGCACATTTTATAAAAAAAAATCAATAAACCTTTTTATGGAACAACACTGAARATATGACACTGATGGAACCAGTTTGTACAAGAGAGGATTTAAAATAACTCAACACACAGACAATAATGTGTGAACCTGTGGCAGCCAAAGTTGTACTCACGTTTGTGATATTTCGTGTGTGTGTGTGTGTGTGTGTGTGTGTGTGTGTGTGTGTGTGTGTGTGTGTGTGTGTGTGTGTGTGTG